TCATTGTACTCATCATTATATCATCTGCACCAAACACAGTGCTGGGCCTGTTGCTGGTACTTAATAATTATTTGAAGATTAAATAGAGGAAGGAAGGAATAACTAGATGACCAGGGGCCTGACTTCTGGGTTGAACTCCATCATTTAATTAACCATGTGACCTTGGTTAAATCTTATACTTAATTTTAGAACTAGAAAGCATGGTAGAAATCAGCTTGTTGGATGACCGCACACTTTGCTTTAGCAGTGGGATCCAACGGAAAGGATACGTAAAATCAGACCGTGAAAACAGCAGAGTCAGACCTTCTCTTGTGTAAGCACTGTGCACAGCTGGGGGGGGATCCTGCCTGAGCACCCCCCCACACACACACACACTTTGCCTATCTTCCCACACTAAAGTGGCTTTTTTGACTTCTTTAATCGATCCTCAAGATTTCCAAGAGCACAGGTTGAAAACCACTGATGTATTTCAAGGCTACCATTTGACAGATGAAGAAAGCAGGATCCAGAAGAGGAGGGAGCTTGACTAATGTCACAAGACCAATGCCCAGAAAGCTAGAGTTAGTATCCAAATGTCCTGACCCCCAACCTCACTAGCAACTTTCACTTCTTAGCATCTCAAAAACCAACCCCAAAGGTTCACAAAGCGGTTGGGAGGGAAAATGTTTGCAAGGGTCCCTTCAGAACTCTGACACACTCAATGTTGGGGCACCAGGCTTGGGGGAAGGGCAGCCGTGCAGCATAGTGGCTGGAAGGAGGGCTTTGGGGTCAGGCAGGTCTGTGTTTGGACCCCAGCTCCTGTTCCTTACCACAAGGAATGTGTCCATGGGTCCCACCGAGTGGGTCAATGCACTCCGCCTCCCCAAGTCCTGGCCTTCCTACCTACAAAATGCCAAGGCACTGCTCACCTGACAGAGGATGCTGTGAGAACTGAATGGCCTCTTTTCATGGCACATCCTAGGTGCTCAATTAAAGGTTGCCACTGTCGAACGTTTGTGTCTATGGTTCTACTCAGGGTATCCGCGGAAGTCTAGGTTATTTCAACAGCAATCGCAAACATATGTTAATCATCTAACATGCAGGATAGCTCCCGTCGAAAACTCAAGCATAGTCCTCCTACTGTATCATTACTACTCATCTTCAAGCCAACACAGCCCCATTGTTTAGCACCGAGCCAGGCATACAGCAGTCGCTAAGAAACATTTGTAAATAATGAACGGATGCCTTGAGTTCTGCCGTATTCATTGGCGTGGTTATGGATTTATAATCAGACTTTGTTTCCACCCCAGACTCCGTCATTTCTCGGCTACCTCACTCTATTCAAGTCAGTCACCTTCTGATCTTTAAAACGGAAATTTGAACCCCAGTCATCCAACTTGAAGGTGGCTTCAGGAGGCTCAAGTGGGAGCAAAAGCCACATGTGAAACCAAGGAGTTATCGTCTGACAAAACACAAAGAGTGTGTTTCCTAGATCTCCGCTGCTTGCTCTGTTCCCCTCAATCCTTTATCTCCAGCCTCCATCTTTCCGAGCACCAGGAATTTCAGATGCCGGTGCGTTCTGCTGAGTAATCAGGGAAGCACCCATGTTTGGTTTATGCGTGTTCACAGATAGCAATGGCTGCATTCTGCCAGAAATTACGTTAAGGATCCAACTCTGAAATTAGGTAGACAACTATTGTTCTTGGGTAGTTGAGGAATAGTTGTCCCCAGGAGTGGGCTTCTGAATCAATAATTACATTGCTATTTATTTATTTAATTTTTTATTTAAGAGAGAGAGAGACTGAGAGAGAAGAATACAGGCGATCCAAAGCAGGCTCTGCGCTGACAGCAGAAAGCCCGACGCAGGGCTCGAACTCGCAAACTGTGAGATCACGACCTGAGCCGAAGTCGGCAGCTCGACCAACTAAGCCACCCGGGCACCCCAATAATTACGTTTTTAAAATTCTGGTATGCTTCTCTTTTTAAAGAGGAAATACCCCTAATTTTTCACCTTTGTGTTCCTTCCCCCTTTTCTTGCCCACCCCGTGTCCACGCTCCTTTGTGTCTTGCTTCCCATCGGGCTCAGAGCACCTCTCCCCAGTAACTCTCCGATTGCTTAGCACCCTTCAAGGCTCATCTGTGAACTCTTTCATAGATGGAACCACTGCAGAACCTCAGCCACTAGTGGGCCAACTTCCAAAGTAGGGTTTGAATATTCAGCATAAGCCACAGGCAGGTACAGCTGGTAGAGGCTGCATGAATCTCACATCCCTAATCCATAATGCCCCCAAATGTGCAAGGGAGACATGTCTATTTTCATACCAAATACAAAAAAAAGACTTACGTCCTGAATGCAAGCCTTCCCTGATGCAGTCAGCATCCTTTTCCTCCACCTCGTTCCCCAGCTCTCCTGTTCTCACTGGCCCAGGAGGGTTAGGGTGTGTCCCTTCTTCCTTGACCTTGAGACAAAGATTATACCTCTAGAGAGCTTTTGGCATTTTCCATCTCATTTAAGTACACAACACGTATTGTGCGCTTTTGACACACCGTAGCAAAAAAAAAAAAAAAAAAAAAAAAAAAAAAAAAAAAAAAAAAAAAAAAAAAAAAAATCACTCAAGGGATCGGATCCAAAAATGAATTGCATGGAAGTCCTGCCTTCCAAGAGTTTCTAGTTAAGGAACAAAGAAACACAAAAAGGCACTCTCTAATTTCAGACGGTTTAAAACGAAAGAGATGTAAGTGTAGAGAGCTGTGGAAGAATCAAAGAGAGGGTGAAAGCCCGGAATGGGGAGAATCTCAGATGGTTTCAAAGAGAAAAGAAACTTGGGGCTAAGTCCTTTTTGGATGAATGGCATTCTAAAAAGTCAAGAGCCACTTCAGACCTGCTCAAGAAAACATTGTCCGTGGACAGTCCCTACTTGTTTCCAGATGTGGGAGTATGTTTGGGAAGGATACGGGTACATCAGTGGCATTTGCAAACGACACCACCTATACCTGACGTGGTTGATTACAAATTCTGTGACCACGGATACCGATAAAACGGGGTTTGAACCCCAATCCCATCACTTACTGACTGTGTGACTTGAGGCAAATAATTTCACCTAGCTGAGGATCAGTTACTTCATGCATACAGTGGAGAGAACAAATGCAATCTACCTCCGACGGCTATTACAAAACCTTAGATGAGATGGCGTACACAAAGTAAAGCACCAAGCTTGGCACACAGTAAGCACTCAATAAATGTTAGCTATTTGCTCTTCTCCTTGTCATTGTCAATCTCTCGTGCAAAGTACAAAAACAAGGTGAAAAGGCGAGTAACAACGCGCTGAAGGCTCACGATCCCTTGGCCCAGACGGTCCTCCACGCGGCAAGGCCCTACCAACACCGGACGCCAGAAAGCATTCTGTGAATGAAAGGCGCGGAAGGCAGGGACCAGCTTCACCCAGATCTTACCTGTATATTTTATATCTGGTTGTAAATCCTTGACGGTGTCTTTCCACAAAGGATAGGTAGCTCCTGGAGTGGTGGAAAGGCCCCCTGTCTGAAATAAGCCAATCAAATTCCTTGGAGACATGTTGGTCTGTCCCAGCTGGTTCCTGGTGGGAGGGCTGCACTGAGATACGGCCCCATACAAACAGGAAGTAGAGGAGCTCAACAAACCTCCAGTTCATGCTTTTCTGCCGGCCTTTTTCCTCTCATTCTTGCTCCATTCTGTGGAGTCCTGAGGAGAAAGAGTAA